CTGGTTCGGGGCAGAGACTCCTGGCAGGGCTGGCTGACTCCAGTGCCGTCTGGCCAGAGTCTACCCCTTTAAGGGCCCGGGGCTGGGGGAGAGGAGAAGAGTTTTCCTGGTTGTGCCCAGAGAGGCCACCAGGGGGAACCTGGGAAGGGCTAGCCTCCCACTAGTTCGAACTAAAGGGCTACACAGCCCTTAGTTCGAACTAGCTAGTTCGAACTAGGCGTTAGTCCTCGTAAAATGAGGTTTACCTAGTTCGAACTAAGCGCTCCCCTAGTTCGATTCAAATTCGAACTAGCGGAGCGCTAGTGTAGCACCTATTAAAGTTAGTTCGAACTAACGTCCGTTAGTTCGAACTAACTTTGTAGTGTAGACATACCCAGGACAGAACAGGCGGCCTCGCGTTGTCCCCCACCACCGCTCGCAACCAGCGGCACGGGATTTAGACGGTTCCGTCTCTCGGGCTGGATTATCCCAGGGAAAGGACAGTGGAGGGAGGGGCACAAGCTACACCCTGGCGGGGTTTCCCCCAAACGATAGCCACAGGGCATGCCCAGGCCGGGGGGCTGGTGCTAGGGATGCTGGGGCAGCTGCTGCACCCCGGGGTTGGAAGAGGTTTCCATCACAGATACAGGGTCACAGTCTGGGTCAGTAGCTCTCCGCACCCCCGCTCCACACCTCAGCCCTGCACCCCGGTGCAGGCGATGGACGTCCCTGATTCCCGGGCGGGCCGGAGCAGCAGCCAGAACTGGCCCGCGGCGAAAATATTAGGGGACAGAGGCAGCAGAACCACGGCACCAGGAGGCAATTCCCCCCTGGGTCACCAGGATAGACCCCAGGGGCCCTGGAGCCCTACGCAGGGCTGGGGAAGCTTTTTTGGGTCGGGGCCACGGAGCCACAGAAGTCAGGCAGGGGCCACACACAAGTGCAAAGCAAAACCAAACCCAAGCCGGCACCCCAGAGCCTAGAGGGGCCCAGGCTAGTAGATGTGGGCCCCCACCCCAGAGGACAGGAGTTCTGTGTGTGAGGGGGCTGCCAGGAAGCGAGCTTGGGGTCTGGATGGGAGAGGGGCCTGGCAAGCCGGGGGGCCGGAGGTTCTCCACCTCTCCCCCACAAGCCACGCGGCACACGCCCTGTGGCCGGCATGGCGCTCACCTTAGAGAACAAACAGGGCCCACAGGGCGGCAAAGCCGGGGAAATAGCCAGGCTCTGCATTGCCGTTTGGTTTAATTTGTGTTCCAAGAGGCGTCCCTCACTGCACAGCAGACGAGCCGCCCCGGGGAGAGCAGGACAATCAGGCTCCGATTCTGGGGAGACTTGGTTCCCGTGTTCCCTACAAAACCTACGCTTCCAACCCAGCCGCTCTGTTCTCAGCCCCGGCTTCTGTACAAACAGACGTGGCTGTTGATTTCTCTTTGGAGAAACATGCTGCTCCAAACCGGAGCATTTTCCCCTGGCTGCCTGCTGGAAGGCAGGACACGCCGACCGCCTGCGCTTTGGGGGTGGCCTGGGTCTATCTCCAGATCGTTATTTCTCCCCTGGTGCAAAAACAATTCCGGAACCCAGCAAAAACAAAGCGCCAGGCATCTGCTTGGGTCAGCCGCGGTTCACGCAGGAGGCGGGCCGGGAGGGCCTTCGCCAGAGGGAAAGAAGTAAGACAAAAGTCACCCATTCCCTCCCCGCCCCCAGGCTGGGCTCCATGCTGCTGGGAATGCGGCACATGGACTCCCAGCCTGGAGTCGGACGTTCAAACAAGCCCCAACGTTCAAGGCCAAGCAGCCCAGACTGCCCAGTTGCTAAAGGCTCCCGAGGAGAGACTCTGGAACCATTTCTTTGCCAGTCTGACCCCGTGCACCGATTCACACCACGCTGGGAGGGGTGGACTGATGGGCCGGGGGGTTAGACTGATGGCTCCATCGCTTTACATGGTGCCCCTCAACTGGCTCAAGTTCACCCCAAACTGAGCCCCCGCAGCTGCTTCTAAACTCGGTACGTTTCCGGGCTCCGGGGTGTAGCAGCAATCTCTGGAGGAGTGAATATGGATCCCTGGGGCCTGACCCCAGCCCTGTCCCCGGCATTGGGGCCAGGAAGTTTCAAAAGAAGCCACCAGCTGCAAAGAAAGTGACCCCACCAGTTTGTGACGACTGGCCTGGGCCCGCGGGGCGTCCAGAGACGTTCTCCCTGCCCCAGCCAGGTCGCAGCTGTGTCTGATGCCACTAGAGGCCTCAGGGGCAGGCTCCAGGGAACCATCGCCTAGCTAGTGGGATGGCTGGGAGGGGAACAGTAATGTCTGTTGAGGAAGAGATGGAGAGAGAGAAGGGCCCGGCACTGGGCGAGGCGGATGTTTGGCTTCCTTACGGGGAAGCCGCCAACGAACAACTCTCCTCCTGCATGGGCAGAGTGGGTTTGGGTTTTACACACCAGCTCAGGCAGGCTGGCCTTGTAGGGGAGGGCATCAGGAAACCTGGGGTCAGCTCCCAGCCTCGCCCTGACTGTCCCTGGGCTTGGCTGTGGCCAGATCCCCTGTGTGAAAGGAGGATGAAAGACCATGTCTGTCCTCGGCCAGATCTTTGGGGCAGGGCCTGACTCGTGCCCTGTGTTTGTTCATTCCCTGGATCGGGGCCGGTGCCTGGACCACAATGCACCTCGGAACAATGCAGGGCTCTGGTCCTGTCCATATTGATGTCTCTGGTCCCAGAGAGATGCGCCTGGAACCACGACTCGGGCAAAGGAACGTGGAACAGCGACAGACTGGCCAGCGGGCATGTGGTGCCTTTCATGCGCGTTGCTTTTGGACGGGGAATCCCACGAGGAGGCCGTGGAGTTTCGGATTTCAAGGGGGTGAAAACAATGGCAAAGAACAGTGGCTTTGCCTCGGGCCCCTCTGGGACTCAATGGTGAGAGGGAAGTTTCCCCTGGCAGAAATCACGGCATCTTTGCAAATCCCGACATGAACAGGCCTGAGTGAGGCAGCAGCACGGGTGCAAAGTGGACTCAGCCCCACATCACCCGGCTCTGGGTAGTTTCCCAAAGCACTGTCGAAGGCACGCGGCCTAGGAGGGCACGTCTACGCTGAGAAACTATTTCAAACGAACTTGATTCAAAATCTTCAGAGAGTGAGCGAGTTCGTCGGTAACTGGAAAAACGTAAAAAACAACGACCAGTCCGGCAGCACCTCGGAGACTCACAAAACATGCCGATGGACCATGAGCTTTCGTGGGCAGAAGTGGGATGTGCCCACGACAGCGCGTGATCCCATCGGCATGTTTTGTGAGTCTCTGAGGTGCTGCCGGACTGGTCGTTGTTTTTAAAGTTTTTACATTCAAAACGATCACTCCCGAAATAACAAAATCAAAACAGCAGGTCCCCGCTATGGGGGAGCCTCGAAATAAGCCCGAGGCCGGCTGTGTTAATGTGGACGCGCTCCCTCGACTGACTTCGAATGACTTGGGCGTCCACGCAACCGCGCTTTCGAAATAAGCGTCATTCCCCGAGGAAAGCAGGAGGACAGATTCTGACATCACCAGCCTCTTCTTTCAAAACAACAGGCGTGGTGGTGTGGACGCTCCGCTTGTTATTTCGAAATAAGGGGGGTGTAGGAAGGGTGTAGCCACCCAGAAGAAAAGGGAAGGGGTCTGAGGACCCGACTGAGCAATCAATATGCTGGCAGCAATCAAAAATGGGTCAGAGGCAGTGGTAGCAGCACACCTCCCAGCTGCTACCCCCAGTCTCCTCTGCCTCGTATGTTTCCCTCTTCACGTCCCCCCATCCCTCTGCACCAGTAGTGCAGCCGGCTCCCTATTCACTAGGCTGCCCCAACCCCCCGTGCATGCAGCCCCCAGCCTGGCAGTGCCCAGACAAGCCCTGCTGGCCCCCGGGCCGGCTGTTCCCGCCGGAGGGGAGGGCATTACCTCCTGGCCCGTCACAAGCAGCATGCTGTGCTCCTTCCCGTGCTGCACCTGCCGGTAGATGTGGTCAAACACCAGCAGCTCGCTCCAGCAGTTCTGCAGCAGCTTCATCTGGTCGCCCACCTGAAACACAGGTGCAAACAGCCATTAAAGCCCCCGGTCGGCTCGCAAGCCGGTGACCTGGCCGCGTACGGCACAGAGGAGGGTCGGCGGCTGCAGCCTTGGATGCTCTGGAAGGGAGGGAGCTGCCCCACCCTGTCCAGTGCCACCGAGAAGAAGCTGGCAGCAAAGGCCCCCCTGCTTTCTGCTACAGCCCCTGTCCTCTTCTCTCCAGCCCCGCCTGGCCACGCGGGCTCCGGCCATTCAGGAACTGTGGCAGTCGTGTGATCTCACGTGCTCCTGGAAGCTGAATTCCCACTGGCAGCTGCAAACGCCCCAGTACGAATCCAGGCCTGGTTCGGGGGGGTGCCCCACGGCTCACCGGGCTCCCACAATGATGCCAAAGGAGCCCCCCATTCGGCCCCAGAGACGCGCTCCCCGTACGGCTTCCCTCCCTGCCAGTGAGCACAGCAATCGGTCAATTTCCCTTCACTACTGCACTGATTGGACTGGTGCACAATGGACACTATTAACAGAGACCCCCCCTTCCCCTCCCCGGCATTGCATGAAACAGCGTCGCTGGAGCCAAAGGGCCTGCGCACACGCACATCCAGAGCCTCAAATGCACACCCGTGTCTGCTGACTCCCCCCAGTCACACACAGCGAGTGCCAGACGGCTTTGGGTTGAGTGAGGGGGCACACCCTGCAGCCAGTACTGGCCAGCTGGGTCTGTATGTGCGTTGGGGGCGGGGCCGGAGCCCCAAGATGGAAAACAACCCGCTGGACCAGAAAACGGTTTCCAGTTCCCAGCCGGGAGAAGGGCCTGCAAGCAAGGCGAGCGGAGAAGCGCGCTGCCGCTATCTGAGCGCGTGAGTATCAGCCCGACTGGCAGGCCGGTCCGGCAGGCAGGGGGCTAGGCTGGGATTCGGACCATTTCAAACTGGGTGATGCTGGTCCCGTTGGCTGAGTTATTTCTTCCCCAAAGGATCCAGGAGTTCGGGGCTGCCCTGGAGGGCAGGCAGCAAGGAGTACAAGGCAGAGGCGCCTCGCTCCATTCTGCCCAGGTGAGTGGCACCCCGGCGGGCTGGCAGGTCAGACTTTGGCTGGGAATAGTTGCCGGCGAGCAATTATTTCCTCTCGCCAGCGTGACCAGCGTCCCCACGCTCTGCCGGGTCAGCGCAGGGCGGGGGCGAGACGTGCCCTTTCTTTTCTGCGCGCGCCCGTGGAGGGAAACCGGCCTTAGCCAGCGTGGTCCCCGTGGCCTTCCTGAGCAGTGCGGCCATGGGACGCAGTCGGGGCCAATGAATGGAAAAACCCGCCTGTTGGTCCCCACCTGGAGCCTGCCGGTGCGGATGGAGAGGCAGAAACACTCCCCCACTCTGGAGTTGGTTGAGAGCAAAGCCCCTGTGCCATTTCGGTGCGCGTGGGCTGTCCCAGCATGCCCCATAGACGTGTCTGTTAGCACTACACGGGCACGCACAGAACAGACTGGACCAGGCCTGGGGTCATTCTCCTGGGGAAAGCCATCCCTTTGCAGAGGAGGCCTGTGTGGCCCCTAAATCCCACGAGAACCCCTTGGATTCCATCCCACACAGCCAATTTAGAATCCCCCACTGCCCTCGGCTCCCCCAGGCCAGGAACGAATGGGACTTCCCCAGCCCGGCTGAAAAGGTCGTTTCCAGCAGCACCTAGTGAACGTTTCCCAGCCCCGCCGCCTGACCCCGCCCGGGGAAGGGTCCAAGATGCAGACACGTTTGTGGAAGCTGCAACTCGCTTGGGGACAGGCACTTAGCGAGAGGGAGGCTACATCTGTGAACAGCAAACAGTGCTGTGCGGCTCCAGCCAAGCCCCTGCGCTCTCTTGCCAGCCCCGGTAGTGTCACTGGACAAGTGGATGGTGACAAGTCACTGAAGCGCTGCGTGCCTCAGTTTCCCCATCCATATACTACTTAATATGCAATAATCCTGCACTTCCTTCTCTCCCTCAAAAGAGGGCCGCTAGCCTAAATGACCATTTATCGCAATGCTGATCAGCCCCCCAAGCTAGGCAGGCTCAGTAAGAGGGCGCTGCGACAGAGGTGTCTCTTCTAAATGTGTCTGCTCCTTGCGGGCCTCTTCGCAGGGCCGGCTCCCAGCACCTCGCGCAGCGTCAGGGCTCAGCCAACACCCAGCGTGCAATCCTGGGCGCGCCTCAGACCAGGTACCGCGGGTACTGAAGTCCTGGTAGGTAGCAGAGACCCACCCCACACAGGAGGGGGAGGAGCCAGGCCCTCTCCCAGCACCTCGCGCAGCGTCAGGGCTCAGCCAACACCCAGCGTGCAATCCTGGGCGCGCCTCAGACCAGGTACCGCGGGTACTGAAGTCCTGGTAGGTAGCAGAGACCCACCCCACACAGGAGGGGGACGAGCCAGGCCCTGGACAAAGCCCGCGCCAGGCTCTGCTCCCCTCACTCCACCCGCCTGGTCAACGTGTTTCATTCGCACTCTTATCAGCCCGGCTTTCCCTCCGCAGGGCCAGAACGTCGCACCCGGGCCCAAAGCTTTCACAAAGTGACTCTTGGCCGCAGCCCCCGGCCGCCGGGAGCCAGAGAATGCAGCGTGTTGCTTCACACAAAGGCTTTGTGTCTCCCGGGCTGGCGCTTCGGCTACTTTTGCACAGAAAGAATACAGTGTCCACCCTTCCCTCGCCAGGACCGTGGGGCAGAGACGGGCCGCTTCGGGCGGGGGGCCCCTGAACGGAGGCCAGGCCCGGGGGGGCGCGGAGCTCAGAGAGGAAATGCCACCCTCGCCATCAGGCCACATGGCTTTCCAGCCCCAGGACTTGCAACCCTCACGAGCCGCTTCTCCTGGCTCCCGTCACGCCCCCCCACCACTGCCCACTGCGGCTCGCAGGCCAGGGAGCACGGACGCTGGCTCCTCTGGGACCGGTGTGCCCTGTACACGGCCTAGGGAGCCGCAAGGAGGCTGTCTCGGGGCTCCTCACTCCTTCAGCAGAGCAGAGCGAACGCCGAGGGGCCGATGCGTCGCCAGCATCAGTGGGTGTAACGGAGCATCTGGTCCCAAAGCTGCAGCGTCCCCGTCCCCCCCTTGCAGCTGGATTTTGTGATTTAGGCCCCTTGCTAATTGGGAGCCGGTTCCATCTCCCTGCTCTCTCAACGGGCCCCGCACCCTGCGTCCGGCTTGCAGAACCGACCCACCCAGAACAGCACCGGACCCTCCGAGGCCACGTACCGAGAGCAGAGTCCCGTTCGCAGGTTCGACCTGTAGGTCCTTCCCTGCGTGTCGGGCACTAGACTGGCATGTAGCCAGCCCGCCACACGCGACGGAGCAGGATCCTTCTAGTGGCTCAGAGGCGCTGCCAGGACTCGCCCCCTCCCCTTTTCCGTGGTGAATGGAAACAGCTGTGGCCAACATTCCACGTTTGGTTCAAAATATTGCAAAAATGAATCCACGTATTGTCAGGAGTTTAAAAATAAATAACTCGCTGGACCAGTTATGAGTTTGCATTTAACCGCCCCCCCGCGCCCCGGATGTGAAGTTCAAACATTGCTGGGCAGGCAGAGAAAATAAACCACAGTCTGAATAAAAAGCAAATTTCATGGAGGGGGGGTTAATTCTTGGTACGTCTACATTGCACGGCTATTTCGGGAGACCGGAAGCAGGAGCAGGGGGAGGGGGCTCTGGGTGGGGGGGAGGGTGCAGGAGCAGGGGGAGGGGGCTCTGGGTGGGAGGGGAGGGTG